GAGATACCTCGAGGAGTGACTGAACGCATGCTGAATTTTATTTACGCCACCGAGTCCGACAAAGACAAGTTAACAATGATTCTAGACCTGCTTTGGGACAAGGGTGCTTTGCATGATCAATCAAGAGCGTCGCTTAAGATTATTGATGGGAGACTAGTTGAGAGAGCAGCTAAGAATTGGATGTCGGCACAGATAGTAATGAGCTGCCTTCTGGATCGAAAAGAGAAAATGGGCGTCAAAATAACTAAGGAGTTGCTGAGAGCTGTGCTGGAAAATTTACACTGCGGCAACAAAACCATGCACTTGCTTCTAGAAAAGTGTGACGCGGATATTAGACTTACCCCATCATTGGTGCAGCAGGGTGTGTCTCCGTTGAATATTGGTGCCATGATTGCCATATTGAATAAGCAGGCGAAGAATGATATCAAGCTGGATGAGGAATGGGCTGAAGCTTTTGCGAGAGGAAAGAAAGAAACAATGGAGCTGCTTTTGCAGGAGCGTGGTGAAGAAATCCGAATCACCCAGAAAGTGCTCATTTCGGCTGCCAGGTCTGCATGCGATCCACAGACAGTGAAACTACTTCTAGCCAGGCGAGAGCCGGAAACAGTCATTGATAAAGAGATATTCTTAGCCGCTGCAGAGAACGGCTCAAAGGGCAGTGAAATCATGGATGTCTTGCTTGAGGAGTGTGGGCAGGACACCATCGTTGATGAGGAGATTATTCAGAGAATTGTGCAAAACCCTAACCAAGGGGTGGCAATGCTGAAGATGCTCCTGTGCAGACAACAAGCGGGATTTGTGGTCACTGAGCAAATATTATGCGACGCTGCCCGATATCACGATCAGGAAATGTTGGAGCTTCTGGTGAACAATACCGGTGGTTCTGGTCTCCCCATCACAGAGGAGACATTACGCTCTGTAGCTGATAATCATTGGCGTGGACGGAGCTTGATTGGATATCTATATGATCTCCTGGGCCACAGTCTTCCGGTTTCAGAAGATGCATTATTATCTGTTGCCGATATAGGTTCTTCCACAGCGGACTATGTATTCGCATTCATCTTGAAGAGATGGCCAGATTTTCCGGTAACTGATCGACTACTGGAAGCGGCATGTACTCTCCCTAACTCCATGAGTCTGTTATTGGATCGGCGGTGTGACTGCCTTCCAATTAAACAGATGATCCAAAAAATAGCAACAGACGGAGACAGGCGCAGTGGAAGGGTGCTGGGAAAGCTTCTCGACCGGCGGCTTGTGGGAGTGGATGAATGGCTGATGGAAACAGTCACTGGTAACAGTCATACCCTAAACGTCATTCACAAGAGAGATCCGGACTTCCCTGTGACACCAAACATAATTACCAAAATTGTACAAGACAGGGATGCAATGGATATCCTGCTCGATAGGCAAAACAACCAAGTTTTAATTACAGAAGAAGTGGTTAAATCTTCATTGTTGGGGAGGCGTCCCAGATCTGTCATACGCTTACTTCTCAGTCGACTGGGATCAGAAGCTGTGCCAATTACAGAGGATATCCTGATCTATGCTATTCAAAACAACAACATTTGTCAGGCAAACCAGAACATCAGGGCTCTCGAGTTGTTTCTTGAACAGCGCCGTGACCTCAACCTTAACGCAGTCTGGGAAGCAATATGGCAGGACCCTGAAATCGACCCAGTATCTTTGGCACAGGCAGCAGGAGCTCTACTACGATATGTCAGCTTTGAAGTTTCGACACCAATGCTGGAGATGCTTCCATCTTTGCCCCGGCAAGACTATGTTTCGTATCGCCCTTTTGACGATTTCATCCGAGCCTGCATGCAGCACCGGATACCGTTACCCACCACTGAGGCAGCAGTCGAGTTGATCGTGGAAAGAGCAAGTTTCGATACAGTTGAGATATTCTTCGAGGATTACCCTGGTGTTCCTGTCACTGACAAGCACATTGCAGCCGCCAAGAGGAATCCACGAGAGGACGTGGATAAGGATGAGTTGGTCTCGCTTCTTATATCTACCAGAAAGAGTTATTCTAAGGGGCACAAGTGATTGTCGTGTCTGTGTTTTGGTTTCATCTTTTATAGCAAGTGTAAATATCATTTTTGAATCAGCTATTGTCCGTTGCCACCTCACTAGACACACACCCACCCCTACATCAAGCACCTCTCTCCACTTTGTATCTTAATGTCAGCTAACTACGCGGTTCATCCATGCTGCAAATTCCTATACTCCGTTTGCCCGACAAGCGATAGCTTTACAACTTATCATTCAATCTGTTGCACCTGGGAATCTCTGGTATCAGTCATCCCAGAAGCCTTCCACGAATGTCTCCTCCAGGTTTGGATCCGTTCTGGATAATAGCCAACGTAAGCGGAAAGACGTATAGTGATGTGAGATATAAACCCTAATTACTTGTATACTGTTAAATAGTTTATCTAGTGTTCCTAAGTGAAGTATTTCATCATCGTTCTGTTAGTTACTTCCAGGTCGGGGAATGTCTATGTTATCAATAGTTTACGCTATGTACTACTAGTAAATTTATATATATATATATCGTGACCACAGTACGCATACTTCAACTTCGCTAAGTTCGTAGGATTCTACATACACTATGATTTTGATCTTATACCATAACATTTACTCATCTTCATTTATATCAAAATAGTACAGTACATGCTATAAAGGAAGGAAGGAAGGGAGGAAGAAAGCTTGTCTACCAATTAGTCAGGTTCACTTTATATTTAGTACACTTCCTTCCTTGATTGACTCTCTACCGAAGTTGTGGATGGAATATTGGCAATGGATATTTCCTGGTGGATTATGGGGTTCGTATTTGTAAGAGGGATATGCACAAAGGATTTGTGTGCATCCTTGTTAGTAACAGCTTGTAGAGGTTGGTTGAATCGAGCCATCATGGTTGTTGCGTGTCTACTGTGTTACAGGGGGGGGGAAGGGGGTGGGTGAACTATGATGATCATGCAGGTTTGTGAGGGATGTACTATCGCATGATATTATAAAACCAAGTTTGAGTGGTGGCAGTGCTTAATTATTTTTGAATAGTAGGAGAATTATCTACTATTTACTAATAACACTACTTATACTATTTAGTAGAAAGTTGAGGACTGATATGAGAATACACATGTTGAATGTGTCTCGTCCTAGCTGCAAATATATATTGTCGTCCGTGGAGGACGATAATCTTTCTATAGTGGCACATAATATTGTCCATAAACATGCAGGTCCGCAGTCGCGTTTTAGTAGAATGATATGCTTGGCAATAATTGTTCCTATAATGAGGCATGCACGCAGACATATAACCATCCGAGGTATAGGCTGCGTGACGCGTCACATCTGCCCGATCACAAGCAATAGAATGGCAGCATTATTGAATACGGAATCAAAGGTCCAGACAGCGGTGGATAGCCCTTCTTCATGCAGCAGAGAGCAAACAATGAAGCCCTGTCGGAATGGGCCAGAGTGTTCTTCAGCCCGAGGACAAACAATGGACAAATAGCCTAGGCCCTGACAAGCATTGACATATGCCAGCCTCATGTACAAGGTACCTGGGGGTACTTTCATCCCGCAGAAACACGACTGGTTGCCAAAATAGAAAGTACCCGATGTGACAATGCAGTCAAGTCACACCGCACGTGAAAGGGCAGAAGAACGTGCGCGTCGAAGCGATCATTGGCTGCCGGGACGAAAATATTCCCACGAGTAAAGCTGCATGGTTTGGTTAGCGTGCATGGCACTAGGCTGCTTATCCGTGTTGGGAAGTGAATGAGGCATCCTGAATGGCTCGTGCTTTTTTTTTATATTGTTTGCCGGTATGCACCTACTGCAGTAGCTGTTCTTCTAGCATGGGTCTAATCTGCAAATTCTTCCTAGGGACCCCCGATAGTGTTGCTGGTTTGGGTAAGTTGGTCCCCGACAGAAGGCACCCACCTAGTTCACATACCGACATGCGGCGTCCCTCCGTCGGTATTTCTTCTTCTGGGCCTATCAATAGTCGGCGGACATTTGCCCTTCTCTGGTTCAAGGGACACGGCTGGCGTGGCAGTGGCGGCAGAGGGGTTATTCTTCAGCGCACATTAGTCTCTTCTTCGGGCTATCCTGCGGCGTGACATTGCGGTCTTACATTCCCAGTCGCAATCATCTCACCCGCAAAGGCTGACACTAACCTTTAGCCCATTGCGGAGAAGACCTGGAGGTCGGATAGTTGGAGTACATAGCTTAGCATAAGCCGTCGGGAATATATGGCTCGTGCTTGGCTTCCCGACTTCCCGGAGGTCTAATCTAATTCCTATAGAATAAGATGTCAAAGTGACCCTTAATAGAGACAAAGTGTTCCATGCTCAGATTCAATTACTCCGTACACACGCTGATATGATCGAGCAATGGATCACCGTGGCTCGGTGAATGAAGCTAGTGCGACCGGCACTGGCTAGAGCAAACTGACAGCTACCAATCGGTTAGTCCCTCACAAAAGAGGAAAAAGAAAATGGATCGCACGCTGATCCCGGAGCTGAACCACCTGTCTAGGCAACCTGGCGCCTCCACCCGCTATATCATGCATGCATCTGAAAATCCTGCCTCACTGTGAGACTAGACGACGCATTCACCGAGTAGTCCGGACGCCATGACAGAAGAAAACAGATAGCTACCTACTAGTTGGCTCCAGGCTACATGCAGGTCCCTGAAGAATTTAATCGCGCGGGCGAGCGGTAATGCACGAAGCGTTCCATTTCCAAAAAGCAAGATAGAACGTACTTTGTTGAGCATTGTATGATGCTAATTCTGGTTCTTCGGATGGCCGTGCGCTCGTGTGAAATCAAGGCATTGAGTCCATGAGTGGAGAGGCACGGGGCAATGGCTGGAAGGATATACCGCTAATTCGCTCTTTGGTCTGAAGAGGTATCATTGGCGATGAGGATCCACTTAGTCTGCTGTGCGTTGTCGGCGACTTGGCCATCCTAGTGTCAGAGAGCATGAAGTTGATCTATCTACTCCGTGCTCGATATGCTGTTGCCGGAAATGTCAGTGTAGAAGTCATTGTGGATCAGATCAGCCAGTCGAGCGTGCGCTGTCATGCACATTGAGCCAGGATACAATGGCGGTCGATCTAGACGCACGAGGAGCCAGATCCTGTCAAAGTGACGGCTGGTGTGTGCTCCAAGCCACGAGCAGTCACATAGACCAGATGCGCGCACTCGATCTCGACTATCGGAAAGAGGGCTCCACATTTGCGACTCGATCAGATTGATCCAGTTAATGCTCTGTCGGCAGGACGGTTCCACGGGTTTCTCAGGTAGATGGCCGAAACTCCGCAAAGTGAGTAGCGAGTACAGCGTACCATGGGAATAGCATCTCGCTCTGTTTCACGTCTCCATTAGCGACCGAAGATCCAGATGTGCTCAACTGTGGGCCAATGGGGCGGGAGGGTAAAGGGATTATTGGCGGATGTGCAGTCAGGCAGGAGGAAGAGTCGGCCGTGGCGCATTGCTCGTGGATGGCAAAACGAGTAGATACAGGAAGCGAATACCAAGATCGAGCAAGGAGGACGATCAGTGTGATGTGATGGTCGGAAATGAAATCCAAGGAAGTGATGAAGAAAGTAAATCTTCCAAACCACCTGATCTGGCGACACGTGAGGGTTCCTGAGATCTCAGGCAGCCGCGCAGGCACAAAAAAAAGAGAAAGACACAACTGCATCCTTCCAAAGGAGACAGACACCCTGGAATTCCCCCTTCCTTATTCCCCTGAAGCGATAAGGCTACTAGCTAGATATCGGGTCACTTACACGATCCCTACACACGACCTTACTGAATACGTACCCTACATTCATCCACGCCCGCGACGGACGGATCGTCTCTCCCTCCCGACGCGACGCGGTCGGTTAATCCGCGTTCATCCAGGGAACGCCTCCTCCTATCCATTTCCTTCCGCTGGCACAGGGGAAAGACTAGGACAGAACACGGCTAGCCTTGGGCGGGCTCAGGTTCAGTTGTGACTCGAGCCGTCCCGCGTTGCTGCGGTTTCCTATGTGGGGGGGGAAAGAGCTGTCGTAGTGGAAGTGATTCACACCGAGCATCCCGTCCTTAAAAAACGGGCGATGGATGAGAGACGGAATCTAACAATTTTAGTGCCTAGCGGTGGGGATTCCTGGGCCTGCCATCCGCCAGAGTGATTTAATGAGGTCAAAGTAATTTCGGAGTCAGTCCTGTTCGGTTCTAGTATGTGTGAGCCAGAGCAGATCCCGTTGTCGTTCTTGTGCTGCTAGTCTAGGCGCATACTATACTTGCCTGCCTAGCACACAGTCACCCCCCTCTTTCGGAGAATGCTTTGATGTCCTGGCTCCAGAACGGCTGATGCATTGATGTTAGTCTTTCCTCGGTCCTAGCCACATTGTTCGTAGCTGAGCCCTGTGGTATCTGCAAACCGACTTCCTCGAAACCCAAGGAGATATATACACTCGCTAAGGCAAGGTGACAGGGAAGAAGTAGCACTGACCCTCGTTTAGTTTACAAGCCAACCCCTCACCAAATTAGTCCCGCATACAGCGACGGGCACGTGTTGTTTCTAGACCTGGCGGATGAACAAGCCTTGTCCTCCAGCTGAGCCTGAATGAGACTCCCTTTATTCGAAAGAGGATCCTGGAGAAAGGATGACCGCTTTGCCCTCAACTAACCTGTCAACCTAAACCCACTCGGGAAATTCCCACTCGGATTTAGCGCTCCTTTGGTCTGGACTCAAGCTTGCCGGCATCAACGGTCGGGTGTCAGCAGTCAGCACGTCCTTCGAGCTAACTAACCAACTATGTACGGCTGCTGTGTATGTGAGTGTGTGTGCCTGTGGGACAACGCTGGCTACATGCCTAATGCCCACATAGTATAATATAATGTGATGATCATTCCTTTGTGCCACGGGAGTAGTCGGAAATCATCCGTTTACGACCTGTCATTCCCTTCGTAGAAGTGGGGGCCAAGGTAGTAAGTAATAACTAAGTCGTAGTAGCAGTAGCAGTAGCACCAAAACCGGCGTCGTACTTCATGCATCCCGTCTCAGGATGTCTTTGTTCCTCGTCTGACTTCGAACCTAATCGATACGAAAACTACTATATGCCGTGTAAGCGTCACTCAAAAACAAAAAAATCCTAACGGAAGACGCGGACTCCATTCCGACAGGAAGAGTTACTCGATCTGGCATTACGCACTGTAACACTAACCACCTCCACCTAGCCTACAAACTAGACCTAGACCTAGACCTACTTCAGACATACTACTCCTACTACAGTACTACTGACTTCATACCTATCACCTCCCAACCTTCACCCAACTAACCATGCATGCGAGATCCAAACTAGTAAGTCCTTTCCCCCCCTCATGTATGCGCACCCCGATCAAATCGTGGCGATCAGACCCGAGAACCAAGCTGACGGACTCCTGCGGCAGAAGGAAATATCGCGCTGCGCCCCTCATCGGCTCATTTTTGGGTACGTATGTATGTATGTATGTATGTATGTATGCACTAATGAATGATGATGGCTGTGTGGGGGATTAGCGATACATCGTACAGATATCTGTCTATCTGCATGCTTGCTTATCTATGAAATTGCTTCTTTGCCTGATAGATAGTCGGATGGATAGTTATCAGCCCGTTTTCTTAGGCGGGATGTCACGGTTCGCTTGGTTGATGGTACTAACTGGCTAGTGTTGTATCTGAGCGCGCGGTGGAGAAGGAGAAGGAGAGTGAAGGATATAGAGTTCGAGAGACGTACGCCATCAAAAGGAAATATTCAACACGACAAAGAATGTGTAGTGACAATGCCAAGGGAAGATCTACGGGTACAATTGGGGGGTGGGGGAGTCGTGACTGGCAGTGACTTATTTTGTAGATGTGAGAGGGAAGTGGTTGATTCCTCGGTTCATCTTGATTCATAATAGTAGTTATAGCTCGGAGACTCCCATACCATGTGTGTATGTGTGGATGTCGGAGTGGCAATGGTCCGGTTCCTAAGTATGGAGAATCAATAATCAGGTGGCTAAGTAAGCCATCTGTCTACTCCTGCGGAATTATAAGCCGTATGTAGACAATGCATGATGCATCTAGTTCTCTCGTGTCTTGAAAGCAATGAAGATCATTATTATTTTTTATGAGTTTCATGAGCCTATGTACTGATGCATCTGTAAGCGTGTTTTTATATATCGATCGGTGGTGGATACGGGCACAGGCGGGGGTAATGGTAGTAACTAAGGCTGTGCGCGATTGCCCTTGCGTCGTAGATAATCCGGTGCCACAAATAACTTCCCTCAAATCAGTGCACAGGCAATCTGGAGATGCTAGCTTCAATGTGACTTAATTGTCTATCACTGACGTAGGTGTGTAATTTGTTTCTAAAACAACCAGGAGAGGAGATCAGTCACCGCCCTATAGAACTACGTACTACGTATCTAGATCGCCGTCACAGTTGCACACAGGGTTGAACTGCAGGTACAGAATAGAGTACACATGGTAGGTCATCAGGTGAGACATGTGAATCCCTTCGCAAAGATTGTACGACTAGAATTGAGGAGCTTTACTTGTTTGCTCCAATTGTTGTGATCTCGATGTTACTATCGGCAATTGGCTGGTTGTTATCCGATATCGATTTGGTTCCATGGAACCGCGTAACCGACCGAGTTAGTAAGTTCATAACCTAGGAAATGCTCGAAAATGCTCGAAAATGCTCGACTTGGCAATGTCTCTCTTGTGTGATCACCACCCCGAAACCCTACTTACATAGTACTGGTATCCGCACAGCTAAGAATTGAGCCTGGAGCATCTCCCCGGCCGTCAGAAACGACAAGAAAGCCGGGCCAGCAGCTGGGGAGAGCTCGTTGGCTCGGCAGTGGATTAGCCTGTGGGTCGGGAGAATGATGCATCCTTAGTCTTCATCCTTTTTTCATTGCTTTGGGTTGCCCGTTTCCCCGTGACAGTCGATAGGTCACTTTCTCATCCTATTGGCCCCTCATCTTGGCTGCTCCTCTCTTCCTTCTTTTGCCGGGCCCTGATTGACGCGGATTGTCGTCCATCGGTTTCTATTTCGAGACCGTTACTTTCTCGGCCAATGGTGCTCTGCACTAGTTTTTTTTCCACCAGGTAACAAGTAACCCAAGTAAGAAGGGCCTAATTCGGATAATCCTGAATTTTTAGATCGCCACTGGTTAGGTTTCCTTTTTTGCCCTATTCTTTCTGGTCTTGCTCGCTTGCTTGCTTGAAGTTCGCCTCTGTGGACCGGATGACTAGGAGCAAGAGGCGAAAAGCTGAACGCCGAATAACTATCTCGATGCCTAGGCCGAATACGCAGGGTAATCCCAAAGAGGATACTGTACAGCAAGCAGCCAGAACGGGCCGCTGCGGAAGCTGTCGAGGCAATTGAAACATCCAAAAAGTACCCGACCAATCAATTACAGGATGGGCTGTGGGAATAGGAAAAAGTAAAGCCAGACGGGTGCATGATGGCCTCGAGAAAGTTCTCGAGAGGTCCCAGTGGGATGGTTACTGCCTTGTCGATCTCTAGTCGAGTCTCCTCCTTTCCGTCCCCCATCCAGTCTGCGACGTCCCAAAATTTCGACATTTCCGACTTTTGACTTTCCACTCAACTCAGTGTGCTTTTTCCCCCATACTTTCGTACTATTTCCCTTACTAATCGTTTCCGTTCTTCCATCTCTGCTTCAATTGATGGTAACTCCGGATCCAAGAATATGAGGGATTCAGTAACCACCGTGACGAGGTGCTTGTTTTGCTTCAATTCTTGGAAAGGAAAGGGGGGGAGACGTGACTTTGATTAAGAGCTGCGTATACAAACGTGAGGGGATGCCGTGGCTTTTTTTTGCCACCACTTAAAGTATGTTTGTTCGGTTACTAAGGTAGGTAGCGACCCGAAAGGAATACATACATACATATAGACATACATACATAAATTGCCCAGACAGAAAGTGAAAAAAAATAAAGAGAGTCAATTCTTATTACTTATCACTTGCAAACTATATATCTCAGCATCATTTTAATCATCATCTTTCCTCTTCCAGCAGTACTACTACTAAGTAAGTAGTAGCTAGACTACGGAGTTAGTTAGACAGGCCAAACTACTGCCAGCAATACTGGGCCCTTAAAAAACTCAAACCCCTGTTTGTCCATACACAAAGTCCATCTTTATCCCCACTTACCAATCCTCCATCTCGGTGGGCCTGCCCTAACGAGGTTTAGCGGCAACTTCAAAGAGAAAAAGAAGATACGTAGAGAGAGAGAGAAAGAGCAAAAGGATGATGTGCTTGCATAAATTAAAAACAATCCGTATATATTAAATTTTAATTTATTCAACGAAAGATCAGTGGATAGAGGGATTTAATTTTATGTTTTGATTTTAGTCTTCGAGTCGAATCAAAATTAGAAGAATACCATAGCTCGCGCGTTATTAATTTGGAGAAGGGGGAAAGAAGGAAGGAAGGAAGGAAGGAAAAAAGGAGGGGGGTTGTTGCTTGCCCGCCTGTCAAAGTGCTCACTTGCACGCACTAAACACAATTAGTACGGAAGGTGTAAGCAGACTCTTTTTTCTTATTTGTCTTCCATTTCCTTTTTGATTAATCCTTTTACCCCTCAAAAAGTACGTACGTACGTACTACACTGCCGAGAGCCAAGCCATAGTACTAGTAGGGGGGGGAAGAAAAGAAGAAAAAGGAAAAGGCAAGGTCCGCTGTGGCCGTTTTTAATATGCTGACGGAGACCTACTGTACTTACACCTACCTGCCTGAGTTTGGTTTGATTGACTGATTGACTGACTTGACAGGACGGGCTTCCGCACTAGTAGTCCACCAGTTATTGGTAGTGTAGGTGGCTAGTAGGCTTTAGGTGGATGATGGGCTTCTGTTAAGTACACAAGTGAACTTACCTACTTACTACACTACTGACTTAGGCTTGGAAAGTACGTACGTATTCTAACTAAGAGTATAGTGGTATACCTTTTTTTTTTTTTACTTCAGGTTTAGTTCAATTCCGGAGAAACAAACCACTGGAGATGTGGATGGATATTAGGAGTATCGCGATCGCGATCATATCATGGGGTGGGATTTTCTTTTATTGTTATCACATATTTTATTATTATTTATCGGACGGGAGAAAAGAGGCAAATTAGATAAAAATAAAAATTACATTGCATGATGGTTTGGACAGATAGATAGGTCGTGCCGTAGTAGCACCCTGGAACTGGCACCGGTTGTGTGATGGCAGATCATAACCGTTTAGGCAGGACTAGAAGGTTAGCTGCGTGCGTTGCGGGCGGCCACTGGTTGGTTTTGGGTTCCTCGGAAAAAGGCAGTTTGGGGAGAAAAGGGGAAAATCAAAATAACTGGGAAAACAAAAAAAAAGAAGACCGAGAAAATAGAAAGATGAAAATAAGAAAATACTACTGCACATGAATAGGTCGTAGAGGGAAAATAGAATAGAAAATGAAAAAATAGAAAGAATAGAAAGAACGAAAAAAAAAAAAGAAAAAAAAAGATCAGACCAGACCAGACTCAATTCCGATTGGGATAAGGAAAAATAAAAATAAAAATAAAAAAGAACAGGGGAGTGAGTGCACTGTAAATGGGATTCTTTTTCTTTTTTATTAATTGCTTTTTATGAGATTTTTGATGGGATGACTGTATACCGAAGGCAAGCACCGCTAGTTCAGTATATTATTTTGACAGGCTGGACACGACCCTTATCACTGCGCGTTCTCTTCTCCTTCTCCTCAACTCATACATGTGCGCGCACGACATTAATCAATCAATCTGTCCCATCAATCCTTTCATTCAGCCGTGGTTCAGTTTGGTTTTCTCAATTTTATAATTTTTTTTTTTTTGCCATTCCCTCATTGTTGTTTGTCCAAACAGACCTCAAGGTGCACAAGGGGTACCGATCGTCTGCTCCACATCCGAATCGAGTCATATCCACCGGTTCTGTGGATAACCACCAGTGCTTGCTATCCACTCTTCTAGGCCAGTCATCGCACCAACTAGTCTGGAGAACTGCTCCGTCAGGTTGTTAGTAGTGGGCTAGTACCAGGTACTTCCCTGGTTCCTTGTCCTTGGACCGTTCCCCTCAATATCGTTCGTTTGACTCGATCTCGTCACATCGCTACCTACACACGGACATCCGACTACATACATACACGGACTGACATCCACTCACACATACTCTCTCTCCCTGAACCTCTCTTCTCCTTCCCGCTCTTTTCCCTCTTCACTGACCTTCACCCACCCCCTCCTCCTCCACTCTCACCTCACACACTCACTATACTATATACAATCATCACTACCGATTATCTTCCCCTTTCTCCATCTAAACCCTGGTGGAGCTATCCGATCGTTCACTCATTGCTGCTGGTGGCAATTGACTTGAATAGCTTAGCATAGCATTACACAACATCACTTCTTATAAACCCACGGCCTGCATTGTGCTCATTCCCGCCCTTCCCGGTCTCTGCTTAATCCGCCGTGTCTTGGAAACTGTCGCGGCCCTTGCGTGTCTGTCTGCGAACAAGATTATCCCTCCCGCGCACAGCTACAGCAGGAGCTCACCTCGTTTCCGCCTGTCGTCATAGTCGCTGCACTCCCCGTCGATCGAACTCCTGGGAAGGAAAAGGTCACACTCGTTGTCCGGGTTAATTTTCCTACGTGGATTTTCGAAGATCTAGTCCGGGGTCGACTCGTGGTCCTTGCTTGCTTTACAGCACTATCCAGTCCGCTTTTCACTCGCCCTTCCTTTCCAACGAGGCAGGTTTTCCTCATCCCGGGCGTCGAGTGACTGCTTGTTATTGTTCGCCACGCTCTGTTTTTGTTTTGCGGCTTGTCTACTCGGCTTTTTGTTGCCTCAAACCTTCTTCAATTCCCCGGTTTCCTCGTGCTCGACTTCCCTCCTCGTTTTGATCCCGCGCATTGAAGAACGTGTCTGCAGTAGAGACGCTGCCGAATTACTCTCGACGAGCAACTCCTATATATCGATCGCATCGCTGCAATTTCAACCCACGCACCTCCTTCGTTTTCTTCCGCGTTTTCCTAGGTTCGCGTTCAAGGTACGTTAGCAACCGGTTGCCCTTCCCCAGCATTCCTTCCATTCCCCTCCCTAGAATCGGACATTCCCCGGGAGACATGCAGAACCATCCCCTCCCAAACATCCTTCAGACGCCCTTGCCGGCCTGAGGGTAGAAAGCACACCGTCAATGTTCAAGGCTCGCACCAGCCTTCAGCAGCGCCGCATGATTGACCTTCTATCACAGACATTGATTGCATTACAGCCACACGCATCATCACATCTCGACTAGCTCGATCATCTTCTTTGTCTACACTACATCACTGACACACTTCGATTGTGCAACTCACTTACTTCTCTTCACCTTTACCACCATTCATAGGACAGTGCGAGAATGATCATTGCGTCTTCTCTCGCATAAGCCTTGGTCAGTGACCACGACGTCCGACTGGACCTACCAAGCGGAAGGCTATCACACCCACATCGATCTTGTCTCAGGAATAGAGATATGGAATCAATGAAGCGACACATTGCACCACTGAAGATCGAAAAGGGAAACCTTAACTACAACTACGACGACCAACAACATCACTATCATTACCAGCACAATCTTGAAATGAGCCCTCCGTTAACACCTTACGAAAACAAAGACGACAGCATGGAGCAATCAGAGACGCCGAGGGCCGTCTTCCACAACTACCTCCGTGCATTCTACCCTTATCACCCCTCCGGAAATGTGTCCCCGTCGACTGTCACCCTCCCCTTGGACCAAGGCGACATCGTCCTAGTGCATTCTGTCCACACCAATGGTTGGGCCGACGGTACACTATTAGATACTGGAGCTCGGGGCTGGCTACCCACCAACTACTGCGAAGCGTATGACCAACAGCCTATGCGGCCGCTCCTGAAGGCGTTGACCGACTTTTGGGATATCATCAGAGGAGGCTGTGGATTCCCTCTGAACGACGCGGGCAACCAGGATCTTGTACGAGGCTTGATTGCTGGCGTGCGCTACCTATTGGTAGGTGTTCCAACTCCTTGCTGCTGCTGCTTATCGGAGGATAACTGACAGGGTCACAGCAAAAATCTGAATGTCTCACACGGGATTGTATCCTGGTCACCAGTCACGACGGTCTGCGCAGGAATCGCAAGGCGTTGCTGGCTGAGCTCTCATCTCTGGTCCGGACCACCAAGAGGTTCCAGGAGGTTGCCAGCGGCAATGCGACGCAGGATGAAATGGACTACATGGTCGACGAAATGCTCCTCAAGGCCTTCCGCATTGTAACGCGAGGTGTTCGTTTTCTCGATGTGTGGACCGAGGAAGTTGGCCTGAGCAGAACGATCGCCGAGCTAGAGCAGCAATCAGGCTACCAGCAAGGCCCACTCACTACGGTTTCTGAGACTCGCCCCATTTCGGAAGCTGCTGGCTCCGAGGCCGACACCGAGCGCAACGAGTCTAGACTCATGAACCGTAGCCGATTGGATATGAGCCGAGCATCCACTCGCCTGGACGACTCTCAACAGACCCGTCCGGTGTCTGTGACCACTAAGCGGATCTCTGTCTCCCACCGGGTCTCAACTTCGGGACCGGCCGCGATTGCCCGCAACCCCAACCTCGCGTCCGAACGACTGAACGATGCCTACGATGCATTTCTCGGTGTGCTGGGCTCCTTTATTGGGCTTCATCTGCAATCCCGCTCCTCGACGGAATTGGTCGTGACCACGGAGCAGGCGGTGCGCTCGTGTCGCGCGCTGCTCACCGTCGTGGAGGCCACTTGCGAACATGACCCGCAGGGCAGTGGGCTCCTGGAGCAAGCTAGAGACACTATGTATGAACGCCTCTCCGAATTGGTCTATGCGGCCCGGGACGCCTTCCGACCGGCCCATTCTCCAGATGATGAGCTTGTATTTTTGCCTGATGAAGGAAAGCGCTTGGTGGATGCCGCCACTGATTGCGTGCGAGCAGCGGGGAGCTGCCTGGCCAAAGCTCGACTGATGCTGGAGCAATGCGGTGATTTCGAGCTGGAGGCAATGCCCCAGGATTTGCCTGCTGCGACCGGCGCAATGACCGACGCCAACAAAACCCCGCAACCCCCGAAGACAAGCACCTTTGCTGGTCACCAGAACCGATCTCAAGAAGCTTCTTTGCGTTTGCCCCCGCCTCCTCTACAAATTCCCAACTCCATCAACAACCGATACTCTCCTCCAACCCCAGGTCTGACGGATGACACTACTCCCTCGTCCTTCCAGTCGCGTAATGGGGCTAGCACTCCCGGCACCGACATGTCCTCCTTTCCATCCACCAGCCACCTCTCCACCAGCCTGGATAAGCTATCCTTTTCGTCTCACGATACCCAACCCATTGAAATTCCCCCTTATAGGGACAGCCAAGCTAAGTCCGATGTTAGTGAGTCCTTTGGCCGAGGCATCACTAGCAATGGAAGTAGCTTTACATTCAACAGCCGTCTCCGTGACTCGGAGATGAGTGGTGTCTCCCAGACTTCCACTCGCGCGACCTCGCCCGACATTGGCAATCATTACCAGGTCCCCTCTCTTAAGGGCAGCATCAGTCATTCTACCCTAGCCGAGGAAACGGAAGAAGGAGAAGCCAACATTCTGGAGAAGACTTACGCGCACGAGCTGATCTTCAAGGATGGCCAGATCATGGGCGGAAGTTTACGCGCGCTCGTGGAGAAGCTGACTGCACACCAGTCTACTCCAGACGCGATGTTCGTTTCGACCTTCTATCTCACTTTCCGTCTTTTCGCTACCCCAATTGAGTTTGCGGAGACTTTGGTTGATAGATTCAACTACATCGGAGACACTCCTCACACTGCCGGGCCTGTTCGTCTTCGTGTTTACAACGTCTTCAAAGGCTGGCTTGAATCCCACTGGCGTCACGACTGCGATAACTGTGCCCTCGAATACATTGTGAACTTCGCCAGCACGACCCTCATGCACAACCTTCCGTCTGCTGGAAAGCGGCTTGTCGAGCTTGCCGAAAAGGTCTCGATGGTTCACGGACCGGTCGTACCGCGTCTGGTGTCTTCCATGGGAAAGACCAACACTGCAACTGCACAATATGTGCACCCAGACACACCTCTGCCACCCCCCATCCTGGGAAAGAAGGAAGTCAACCTCCTGAAGCAGTGGAAGAACGGCGAAGGCACAATCACCATCCTGGATTTCGACCCGATGGAACTCGCTCGCCAGTTCACAATCAAGGAGTCGCGCATCTTCTGCGCTATTCTTCCCGAAGAGCTGCTGGCCACGGAGTGGATGAAGAAGTCCGGTTCCTTGGCTGTCAACGTCAGGGCTATGGCCACCTTGTCCACGGATCTGACACATCTTGTAGCAGATTCAATTCTCCAGCTGGAGGAGCCCAAGAAGCGTGCAGCGATCATCAAGCACTGGGTCAAGATTGCGAACAAGTGCCTGGAGCTCAGCAACTACGACTCATTGATGGCCATCATCTGCTCCTTGAATTCATCCATGATCTCCCGCTTGAAGCGGACCTGGGAAGTGGTGTCCCAGAAGACCAAAACCACCCTTGAATACCTGCGAGGCATTGTCGATGTTTCACGAAACTACTATGTTCTCCGGCAGCGACTGCAGAACCGCGTTCCTCCTTGCCTGCCTTTCGTCGGCACCTACCTCACAGATCTCACCTTCGTGGATCACGGCAATCAGGCACTACGTACCTTGCCCACAGATGAGGGTGACATGGCCGTCATCAACTTTGACAAGCACATGAAGACTGCCAAGATCATCAGCGAGCTACAGCGATTCCAGATTCCGTACCGACTGACCGAAGTCCCGGAACTGCAGGCGTGGATGCAGAATGAGCTCGTCCGTGTGCGATCGAGCGGCGAAAAGAGTCTGCAGACATTCTATCGCCGGTCGCTGGTCCTGGAGCCCCGGGAAGTGCCCCAAGCGCGCATGCAGCCTGAATCCAGCTCCTCTTCAATTCTCGAGAACGCCAAAGACAAGTTCGACTTTCTTTCCTGGACACATCCCTCCAAGTCCAAGTCGGTCGCGACGAACGGTTGAAACAGGTCGTATCCCACTCATTCGTCACGGCCGCCAATTTAATGAATTTACGACAGTCACTTCTATTCATGTTTTCACGGATTTTCACCCAATTACCCATTTTTATTCCCATCTCTTCCTTCTCATACACACGTTTTACTCTCGCACTTCCGCTGTGTATAACCTTTTCGCTCTCACCCTCCTCCATCCACATCTCTTATAATTTCTATTATCTCTCTGGGCGGTACTCGTGAAATCTTTTCATCCATATTTCTTTTTCTTGTTCGGGGCAACAACAAAAAGAGGAAAGGATCGGCGGGGCTTCCAAAAAAAACAACAACACGGAATGTTGTACATTGCATGCACAGGGGCGGTTGGGAAAAATAACACTACCAAAAAATTGGGAGGGGTAAAGCATATAATGGGGTATTATACTACAGGTCGGGAATGGGCCTCGCGGCTCGCACACACACACACACATACTCGTTGATTCGAATTATGGGCCTTGCCTTACCTTGCCTTAACTTGTTATGGAGATGCATGTATTGATGATTGGTCATGAGTGCGTCTCTCTGCTTTTTTTTTATCTTTATACCATTCTCTGTGTTTTTATCCACTTTTTGATTCACCCCCTTTTGTTTGATTCATTTTTACTATCATTGTTTTATTGATTGAATGGTTGGTTGCTCTTTGGATGGATGGGAGCATTGCTGGGATTTGTACTTGGACTTGGCTTGTTTGGACTAGGAAACTTAACTGGATGGCATGGAATTTTGGATGGATGGGATGGATATTTGGAAGGATACTTAGGATAGGATCTACCTGTGTACTATTTGTATATACCATTCTGCAACATACTAGTAGTCTATTGACTAATCGATCGATATCATGATCTGATCATTCATTTTCATACGTAAAAGACTGAGATTATAGTTGTAGTTTCCACAATTGACTTGTAGTAATAGTAGTATAGTAATGGTAGTAGTGGAGAGGTAAACCTAACTACAGTAACTAACCAGATTCCCCATCCCGCCATTTTCTAAACATACCAACAAACCCCGGACCTTCATATTCATTATCCTCCGGAGTCTGATCCAATGATACGGCAGCAGGCCCCATTTCCAAAATAGGTATCATCGAGGGCCGACCATGCGCGCACTGGAACGGGAAAACGCAATCTGCGAGTCGTCTAACCAAACTCTGGCATTCATCCTTATCCAGAACATCATTGAACATGATTGCTGTGCGGCATGCGCGAGAGTTCAGCAGGTCGATGATCCCTCGAGGACAGCCGTCGAGTCGATCTACCCAGCTGCTGCTGCTGCTGGTTTGAGCCATATCTGGACGAGGATGGGTGAAGCCGGTTGGATGGCGAGGCCGTCGGCTTCGTCCGTTCTCTTCTTCGCGTCTCCAGATCTCGCCGCGGATGAGGTCAGTGACTAGGTCGGGTTCGGTGCGGCAGCGCTCGGCGATGAGGGTTGGGAGGGTGTGTACGAAAATGAAGACGTTCTTGTCTTTGGGTCCTTGTTCCACGGTGTAAGTTACTCCCCAAGAGTGAAAGAAGTCCTTGTATCGTTTAAACAAGGATGCTTCGGGAGTGGGTATTTCAAAAATAATTGGTTCCAACGTGATGGTTTGGATGAAGCCTGGGCTATCTGCTCCAGATGTGAACAGCTCTGCCATGAGTGCCTCGACCCGGCATCGCTCATCCGCAGCGTGCTGATCGACCAAGATCAGGTTCGATGCAGGGTCGCCAGGGCTATTAGAGGGCATTTGCATCTTTATCAGGATGAATTTCTGATCCACTTGAGCGATGACTTCTGCAGCTCTGAGATCCTGTTTACGCAGCTTGCCTCGGAATTTCGACACTCCCATGCTTTCTAACCCGCATAGCTCACCATGATTGTCCCGCGAACTAGACCCGGGGCGAGCTGTCTCGTGGCTAGCACTGACATCCACAGCACTGATAGGCCTCTCTGGGCGGCCAAAAACAGGATTAATCCAATTGTCCAAAAGTTTCTCAACCCACTTGTTGTCAGTCCTTTGCAAAGGGACTGACCTCGGTCGCTGCACCTCGTCTGAAGTACGATGTGGTCCTTGTGAATAGCCAGTGGACCGGGGCCGCAGCACCATGCCCGATGCTCCTGAAGACTCAAGGAGCATGGACTGACCAGTTCGCGAGTTGATCAAATGGCGTCTACCCGTGTAAGGATCGACCCACGACATCATCGTGTCGGTATCTGTCTCTTCGTGGACCTGATTCAGTTGTCCTTCAGGCACCTCTGACACATCTGGTATAGGAGATTGGGCCTCGGTGGCCGTGCCTTCCTCGCCAGCAGAAAGAAGCGCTGATTGCTGGTTCAACTGATCCCGGACTTGATGTGCTGGGGTTTTCTCTGAGCGAGCCGACCCGAATTCGCGACCGCGTAAAGGCAACCTCTTGCTGAACGTTTCCGGCTTTGCACTTTTGATTCTGGTCCAATCGCCGAAATGATGGCTGACATTGGGTGGTCTTCGCAAAGAGGGAAGCTTGAGTTGACCACCGAGGGATTCTTCGGTGACAGAGCCGACGCCTTCTGAAGCTAGAGACCTCCCGGTCTTCACGCTGCTAGGGCACGTAGTAGCTGGCGGTACATTGGGCGCGCCCCTTTTCCTTTTCCCAGTACGTGGACGTAAGCTGCTCTGCCTGAGGAATTCGTTGATCATTGTCGACAGCACATCTAGTATACGCTGGAGAGATTTGTCTGATTCTGGAAGTTCTTGCGTATCATCGTCGATATTCCACTCATTGCAGCTGTCTATACGTATGTAGAACATTGGCCATTTATTGACTGCTTTAGACGCGGGTTTGCTATGCATGAGTTGGCCATCAGCAGCCCGGACAGATGTTTCAACTGCAGAGGAGCGGCTTTTTGTAGACCCAAAGTCCGACAAGGCAAATGAGCGATTGACTTCCGCAAAAATCAGATTTGCGTTGTTTTTCGCGAACACCGGGTTCGAGCCTAAGGAGACAAACTGGACCTTCTTCGTAGGACTAGGCGTCAAAGAGACTGCCGCATGAATTGTGAAGTCAGAGACGCTGGCCGATACGGTATCCCAGATGCCCGCATTCTGAGCCTCAACCAGCCCCGACTGGGACAGGATAGAACGAAGTCGTTGTAGATCGGGTTCTCCACCATATTGCCTAGCAGGTCTTTGTGGATAAACCGTGATCCTCTTTTCTCTATGAGCGTCGAGGACCACTAGCTTAGCCATCCTGTCATTTGCGACCATGTATGACACCAGAAAGTGCCTTAGTTCCTCCCACTGTCGTTCCAGTTCATCTGGCCTTTGAAGAGCCAATGCCCGACTTTTTACGCGCACGGGCATATTCCCGAACAGGTCATTTACTGTGACAGACGTGCCATGGGCACTGAACCTCAGCGCTTGATACGCTGGAGCTGGCATCAATCGAGCAACCGGCGTCGAGTGATGGAACGTGACGGTATTAGTACTCGAATGGCGCACATGGTGTGATGTGATAGTCAGCAGAGAAAGGGCAGCAAGTGAGGCGAGGAACAGCCCTTTACGTCCTTCTATAGCATGACTCGAAAGGTACTTTGAAGTATCTGCATCTCTATGAGTAAAGGACATTGATATGTGACGATTAAACTTACGATGGGCTTTCCCCAATCCTCCGTCTGGTTCAAACTCCGCTGGAGGGATGCCATCTCCGTCATCTTCGACTATACAGCCTCCGCGAATAAAGTCGACGGTGACATAGACTGTACGAGCATTTGCATCCAATGCATTCTTGACTAGCTCTATAATAACCCCGTTCAAGTGTGTAATGGCAGTTGAGGACTTGAGCTTCGCCACTACATCAGGCGGTAGAGGTCGAATTCTGGGGTCCCATGACGACATCGCCAGGGGGTTGGTAGATTAATTTATAGCCTTGTAAAGTTTCTCTCATGTTGCCATAATGTGGTGGCGCTCCGAGTTAGTTGATAGCGCTTGAAATCCGACCTGTAGCTTTACTAGAAAGCATAGACCGGTCATCAAAACGCAAAAGCGCAGATAAACTATCCAGAAAAGCAGTTATTGGCTCAAAATGGGGGGAGAAATGCATAGATTCCGGCCATGTTTGCAGTTGACGAGGAAAGCCTGTTGAAATGGAGCCCAGCAGGGGAAACCGCGGCCGATGATGTCTCTTATCACGTGATGATAAGACATCTGGCGATAAGCAACAATGGAATCGCAGTATTGATGGCCTAATCCCTACCCTCCCTACGAGAAAGTCGAAAACTTCGACAGAATACTGTCACAACTGTTATACTTGTGGCAGTTTAAAGGGTCTCCAAATAGGCAGGCAGAATGTACGCACCCGCTCAGCCTCTCCAAGGAGCTACGCTGGCCTGTGTGGTATTTGGCACCCCCAACTGCGGGTGCTTGAGCTTATCGTGGCTGGATCCTCCTGTATACAATCTCCGGTTCCGAGGTGGAAACAAACAACGAACCGAATCCCCTGGACGTGTGCTTTACCCCCTCAGCCTCTATTGTTCAGAGTGAAGCATGGAGCAGATCGAGATCGTTGCATGCTTACATGTGAGATGTGGTTCACGAGGGAAAAGCACTGGACACGAGCGCATAGCGTGGGATGGCATGCACCAGACTAAAAAGTAAAGCATGCGGCAGCGAGTCATGAACTGGCACGGATAGACTAACATAATTCGCCGGGAACATCCATGTCAAAGGACCGAATAAGCGGGCTAGCGAGATACGCGCTATCGCATCACTGCAGTAGTTCCAGCCTCGGAAGCTTGAAAGACGGAGTGCTGGAGGCGGGATTCGTAACAGATCGACACAGATTCGTCAGGCTGAACCACTGGCAAACAAACACTATTCCAGAGGGCGAACATGATGACACGTCAAGAGAGAAGTGTGAGGCAGGAATCTCATTCACTCAGTCAACTAATGAATTGGTTGGGGAGTGAAACGCAGAGGAGAGAAAGGCGACATCCAGGCGCCGATCGTTTATTTGGGCCGATGGGCATCACGTGCAGCTCCTGAGGAACTCCTGACTTGGAAATGAAAGGGTGGATGGCCGGCCTCTTCCTCCATCGCCATTTTCCCAATTTCTCGCTCTTCTTTTTCTTCCTTCCGGACTCTTTTGTTTCTTCCTACGATTTTTTTTGTCGTTTTCTCGTGGATTGAAGTTATCTGCTTTCGCCCCCCGTCACCCTTCTCATCTCTGTCTCTCCCTCCGCTACCCCTCCGACCCTTTAGATCCGTTTCTTTGGTTCACGCATCTTCCCCTGCGGCTGTTATCTGATCGGCCAACCGTCTATCGCTGTATCCCTGTAGACTTGCATCACTCGCTACGGGGAAACGTGTCGTGAGTGTGGCGATCGCATAAACACTCACTTCCACTGGCTATCTCACCGGTGGATTGTTGGAAGGCCAGAATGGCCACGGCTGAAGGGCCCGCCAGGGCGCATGGTGAGTGAATTTTAGCTCATCTCCGAAGTTCCTGTCTGGGTTGTTGCTCATGTACAAGGCATAGATCGCAATGGACGTCGCCACCCCTTTTCTAGCTGGATGAAGCGACTCGCCAGTCTCAAGCATTCTACCGATTCAAGTGCCAACCGCTGGTCCAACAAGCGTCATGCGATGCCCAAATACAAAAGCCGGAGTTCGAAGAACAACCCCTACCCGCTGTCGGGCACTGCCCACATGGTTCCCGACTACAATAGCGACTTCAACACTTCCGAGGCGAGCGCAGATTCCGATCGGAGGTCTTGTTCGCAGAGCGAACCCTCTCTCGCATACTCCGGGTACGAGCAGCAGGTCCCAGCCACCAGTGCGAAGTCCACCGCGCCAACCATTTCAACCAACGGCGACACGGCCATCTCCGATGCAGCATATTCCAAGGCAGGGACGATGGCTACAGCGGGTGGTGGCATCAGTTCGCAGGGGGGAGGCGAGGGGAGCACCTTCTCATCGCCCGCGCCATCGGTGCGATCTCTGACCACAACTTTGACCACTGTGCAATCGGCAGCACCTTCCGGGCAGCTCTACAATACGCAAAACCAGCATCATGGTCTGACCAATACCGGTTCCTTACACAACCCAGCGACGCAGCAAGTGCAATTTTCTCATCAGTTTCCCCCGTCGCCAGCCACGGCCGTGCCGCCCCACCTTGCCCCTCATGGTCACTCGGTCACCTATAGTACTGCGACAGCCAACAATATCTTGACCGACAATGCCTCCATTCTGACTCTCGCATCGTCGTCAAAGAGGCGCCGCAGAAACTCTTTGGACACAAATGCCTCTGTTCGCGCCCTGGCTCCGTCCTCCGTGTTCGGTGGCAGCCGTGAGAGTTTACCGTTGAGTGTGCTGAGTGGAAATGTCGGAGAGTCAGCGACCTCCTCTTCATTCAATCCGCCGGGTGTCCTCAACCGACCTAGCTTAGTGGGTCTTGCCAGTGTTGAGCGTGCCAGCGTCTACTCGGCGTCCGGGGCCACGCCTCTCGCAGGGAGCGGTGAGCGCGGCAGCTTTCACAAGAACGCCACTGCAGGAGACGGTGCGAGTGTCATCAGCGTGGCCCAATCGCACAGTCGCCACGACAGCAATGCAGCCAGCATCACTGGGACCGGTATGGGCAGTCCATCGTTCGGGCCGTCAAGCAACCAACCATTGACGGGGCGAATCAGCCGTCGCAGCTCAGGATGGGGAGAGATTAACGGTGAAGAGAGCGATGAAGAGAAGCTCGCCGAAGGGAGAGAGGAGGAGCCCGAAATCAAAGTTGAGGGTGTGACAGACATGAAGAGAGAGTTTTCTGGTGAGTAGGGTGGTTGATTTGATCGGGTATCGAATCAACTCTCCCACCCAGATTATCTTTCCAAGAAGAAAAGAAATTTTTCCATTCTCTTTCCTTCTTTACAACTGCAACGAAGTTACGCAAGATGAGATATTCCATGACAGATTGAGTGAACCCTGTTCTGCTTTCTTGCTCTTTTTGCTTCTGCGTTCTTTCTTTCCAAGTAATGACTAATGCAACCACATACACGGAGGGTTTCGTTTTATAACTAACTCACCCAGAGACTGAATGAGTCCCTCCCTCCACATACCCCCACAACCTATCTATTATCTTGCTATGAGGCGTTAAAACGGCGTTTGATATTCATTCCACACATTCCCTTTCCTGATTTCACTCCTTTTGCACATCTGTACATCCCCCTCCTATACCAAGAACCATGATCGGTAGGATGGATAAACGCGGGACTGGGCACGGTGCACACGGGACTGGACTTATCTAACTGGGCGGGCGGACGGACGGCACGGCACGGCACGGTACGGTTTCTATTTGATATCCCCAAGGGCTTGCAAGCATGTATGGCATATTGATCAATGTTATCTTTATCTCTGTTTTTGTCTTGTTGTTCTTTCATCTTTTCTTGATGTCAATCTACCTTTGTCCCGCTATTCTGTTTCTTCCATATCTACTTTACATGACTGTATTTGCTACGCTATTTTCCTTTCTCCGTGTTTTGAGGTGAAGGACATCAGCTTTGCATATTATATGATATTCACAATAGTACCTATTATATGCGTTGAATATTCACGTTGAGGGAGTGTTGACGAGGAAGATTAGAATAAGCGAGTGTAAGTAGTATATCAGTTTCTTATGATGAGTGGGGAAAATAGACTCTTATTTTATTTGGTGTAGCAGATTAAAGCTTTCTGCTTCAAGCAGTGTTGTTGGCGCCATATCACTAGGTCCACACAAGTGACTGCGGACCGTTAGGTAGAGTATACGCGTGATTATACGGAAATGAAGACAGGACGTCATAATAACTGATTGTCAATGTTTCATTTTTCATTGTTATGTGCTTTTTAAAGAAACAGGTACCGTGTGTGTGATATGCACAACAGCTTTTCCTGATCTGATCTGTTTCGATCGAAGAATTTTGTACTTCATAAACATCACTCATGCCACCGACGAGCCTAGGTATTTCCTTGCACCGCGACGCCATCCCCTCATGTACACCATGAGACATAAGAGAGAAATAAAAAGGGTAAAAGAATAAGAATAGATAGAAAAAAATGATGGGAGAATCAGCGACTCTGCATAAACAGCATCTACAAAGCTCAAATGAACAAGCAAGAAAAGAAGACAACACGAGAATGTCGGGTTTAGGCAGTGCCCACGCCGATCTTCGACTCAGAACTACTCCGTTCGGTCTCCTTCTGCTGTTGAGAAGCCAGGAACTTCTTGAACATGGCGGCAATGTCGCTCTCCGACTTCTTGGCCTCTTCCGAGGTTTGTCCGTTCTTCTCGGTGATCAGGTTCTTGAGCCACTGGTTTTCCAACTCTAGGGCCGTGACGCGAGCCTCCAGCGCAGTGTTCTTCTCGGTGGTCTCCTTGACGGTCTTTTCGAGAGCTTGCTCGCGCATCTTCTTCTTCACGCGGAAGCGGGCACTCGCGGCGGTGTTCCGGCGGCGCTTGTCTTCTTCAGCGGCAACGCGCGCGGCCTCCTCTACGCTCATGGCTGGGGTCTTTTGAGTGTTCTTGCGCTTAGGTCCTGCTGCCGGGGCAGTGGTAGCCGGGGCCGGGGTGGGGGTGGCAGCCGCAGACGGCGGGGATGTGATCGAGGACTGCGGGGAGGGCTGAGAAGGCGCTTGACTAGGAGCAGGGTTGATGTTGAGGGGACCGTTGGGCAGGGACGGAACTGCAGAGTACTGTGTGTTCTGGACTGGCAAAGGTTGGGTGTTGATGGAGTTCATAGTAGAGGAAATGTCGTTGACGTTGCCGAAGCCTTCTAGAGAACGTTAGTCATGACTTTCATGATTGGATGAAAGCCCCTGATGAGGCACGCAAGTCGACCAAGGGAAAAGGGTCCAAAGCTGGGCGGAAGGGGTATAAAGCACAGCATCACTGGGATCAACACGAGCCCAGATCGTCTTGAATATGCCACAAAGGGTGCCTCTATGCAACCTCCCACGCTGTACGGGTCACGTGGTATGGCGCCATCACGAGAGCGATTGGCGTTATCCCAGGCCAAGGCAAGGCTGCTGCACGTTTTGCGATCGCGCACAGACAAAGAGGACCCCGTGCAGCATACGAGCCAATGAGAGAGCGTACAGATGAGGTGCGCGGCGGAAGGAACAGCTCGTGTCTCAGGGATATAGTAAAGCTTCTCCCACTAGTACTAGTCCCTGAGAGGGTACGAGATTCGCACAATCAAAGCAAATTGGACAAAGGAAAAATGAAAGAGAGGGTTGGCGGGCTGAAGGTATGGAAAAAGCACATTGATGAGGGCTGATGGTTGAAGCAACTGGCGAAGCGGTGCACATGCAGGAAGTATGCAGCTGCTTCAACAATACCCCAACAGTTGCCCGTAACCACCCAGCTTGGACCCAAGAGATTTATGGCCTGGTGTTTTCAAAGAGGATCTGCAGCAACTCACCTCCCAAAAGATTCAAAAAGTCCATGTCAGAGCTGGTGTCTTGCGCGGTTTCCTTCTTGACTGTGTTGTCCTCCAGCTGGTCAAAGTTGGGCAGATTCAGATCGGCAAACTTGTCGAAATCAAAGAATTCGGCATTGGTAAAAAGCGATAGTTCATTTTCGATGTTGTATGAATCCTGATGTTGCTGCTGAAGGGCCTGATCGTAGGGCGAAGGAATGGCATTCAAATCATCGAGATATTGAGAGAAGTTGGGGGCCCGACGGCCGTTGAATTCGGACATGATGTGTTTTTGAGGCTTTACGGGCCTCTTTCCCTGAAATCCGGCGATGCAAGTGTTGAGGATTGTAGTCAGGTTTCGTAGTTTCTATATCGAAGTCCCTCTCCACTGGGACACTTGGTCGTACGATCACCACCAAGTATTCAAAACCGTTCACGGTAACCCGCACAGTGTATTCGTCGTGGGCGGACCAATCGATGGGGTCGCAATGCAGGCGATATGGGGTGTCAGCGGGATTTGAAGACGAGACAGGAGAAGATAAAAGGCGTGGGAAGAGTCGAGGAGAGAAGAGGGTCAAGTCGAGTTTGTAGTGTGGGACGGCCGGAGACGAAAAAGAGTGGGAATTTGCGGCGGGGCGGGGGAATTGGAGGGAAGCCGCTGATTATTAAGTTATCGGGGGGAAAATGCGGCACAATGGCCCCGTTGAATAATCCCGGTGACTAACCGTCCCTCTCATTCACTTACGCTTCTGTCTCGCTCCGATCGCTACTTGCATCATCTTGCAATCATTCACTCCATCAAGTATTCTTTTCCAAATTATTTCTAGATCTAATCTCCCCATCCGCTGGGCCCCAGAATCTGGATACTTTCCTTCCCTTGAGGTTCACAGTACCTGCGCTGGGTTACCCGGGAGCCGCGTGTTGCCACCGCACAATCACTACTAACCACTACAGTAATCGCATTTCCGCTCATGACATCGAAGCCGAGTCATCCTCTTTCCGGTGGCCGAAGTCGGGCTTGCGGAACCAAGGAATCGCACTGCCGCCGTCCTTCGCCGGCTGGTTTAGGGTCCAAACCGGTTGAACTTTAGGGACGAACTTGGCCACTCCATGTGAAGTCAGATTGAACAAATTCCTCGCACTGGCTTATGGTCTACCAAACTTGCCTGACCGGGTGTCCGCAATGGATGCCCTGGTTGGCTCAAGGCTGATGGCTTGGCGACCTTAGTATCGTTTAGTATTATTGTTCTACTTCGGATTTTGCGCGGTTCGCGAGGAGTTAATCTTCCTGCTTATAAACCACATCTCGTGTACCTGCTGAATTCAGTTAGCCAGGTGCCAACTACAAAAAAGGGTAAAATTATCCGCGAGCACAACCTTACAACCTCCTCATTAATAATCGGGATCTGCATACTTATCGTATGAGGTTATCCACAACCTCTCCTCTGTCCATCCTTGCAGGTATGGTATGCTCATGTATCACACGATAGTCGACGTGTAGACAACATACCCTGTAATCACGCTATTTCCGGCATCTATAGCGCTATTCAGACATCAAATCAATGAATAGAGGAGTAGTGAATGACTGGAGAGGATCGACTAGAATGCGGGAGCCCCTGCGCTGCCAACCGCACTAAGATAAGACCCAGTGATTCTATCTCCACGTGATGCTGTTTGTTGATGCCCCAGGAACCACTGGCAATCCCGTAGCTTCGCGCCGCATCCAATGTATCCAATCCCAAAGTCAGCAAAGTAACCACTCAGCCCTACCAATCTGACGAGTTGTTGCTCCACGGACCTACCTAGTAGGTCTTCCATCAAAAATTCACACGCAATGGCCCGCTTAAAGTCCGTCCGCGCGCCTACAACCGCCAGTTTACCCAGCAACCTCCGCATCCCCTCCTCCACGCCGTCCCTAGTCAAAGCCTTTGGCAAGCTCACCCGGCAAGCACTGCTGGATCTTGCATTCCAATGGCTCGAAGATCGCAACCTCCAGGCATTCCCACCATATCTCCAAGAAGATGATTACGAGAAAGAGGAGGAGGACGAGGGACTGAGTCCCTATCCTGCAGAGCGCACCGTCAACGATGTCCGAAACGCATACCAGGAGTTGCAGTTGCGAAAAGGCGGCAAACGCGAAGTAATCGACCGCATCCTCGAAGGCGACTGGAGACATGGCATCACCCTGCGACAACTAGCCATGGTCGACCTTCGCTACATCGACGACCACTCCTCCAGCCTCCGATGGACCGCACTGGAGCTCTCCCGCATCGAAAGCCAACAACAGCAACAATCAGACCCCTCCGACCTCTCCGCATGTCTCCCGCGCGTCCACGCCTCAACCTTCCTCAGCAAGCTTCAACAACAGATCTCCCCGCTAGTAAAAGCGCACTACTACCTCTCCCGCTCGACCTCACTACCTCTCACCTTCCTCCGCATCTTCGTCACCAACTCCCCCTACCAACATCCGCGCCAGGCCGCCGAACTCCTCACCGACGCCTCGCGCGTCATCTACATCGCTTTCCCAGATAGCTG